TTATATTTGAACTTAACTAACTCAAAACTACGAATATTGCAGTCTGTCATTACAAAGAGCAGGAATTCCTGTGGTCTCACATCTTTTATGAGAAAGATGAAAAAGTAACTTTTATGAAAGAATCACTGACAAAGCAGTTATAAAAAGAAACATGTTCATGGAAATAATTGTAATTCTTCAAATGAATTTTACGATGAATTTGCCTTACAACGCGTAGCAAAAAATAAATATAATCAAGAAGCGTCACAAATGAGGACGATACATTTTATTTTCATAGAAAATTTTAGTTACACTATCTTAATACACAGGTAAATGATAATGTTGATACACAGCATTTAATAAAAAGAAATGAACAATCATCTGTAACAGGCCTTCATAAAAAACTTATTAAATATGAATATTTTGCAATTTTCAATTTTAAAAACGAATTTCTGAAAATCTATGTTAAAGAAACTTTTCAGACTGTCGGTTTATTCAAAATGATACAAAAATAAACAGAAGGATAGATGTAAGACTTATTTTATTATTAATATAATTTCGCATAACCGAATACTCTATAACCAAATAAATATCCGCTGCTACTAATAGCAATTTGAAATAATTTCTCAAACGTCACGAACTTGTACTATCTATCATTCGTTACAATAACAAACTTAGTGGTTTTCGACCGTTGAATAGACGCAAATTACCAACAACTCGTGGCTGAAAATAATTTCAGCGTAAATGCTCTGCTTCAAAATCAACTAATCGTTAAAGGCAATAATAAACTGTGAAATATGGTCCTTCCACATTACAGTATTTGAAATTAATAATTAATCAGACACAGTTTTCAAGTTTATGTCTTGTTTAAATGTAAGAATTATCTTTCACAACTTTGTCAATGTATATTGATTAAATAAACGAGAAATATTAGAGTAGGTTGTTATAGAAAACAATTTTTTTGAATATTCAAATCCTATCTAACCTTCCAATTTTTATTTAACCACTCACTTAAAAGATTCTTCGCTAAAAATAGAATTTGAATATTTAATAACGATTAAATCGTTTTTATAAAACAGTTCCACTTTTCCCAATACTGCTGACACAATAATCACTATTCTTTTTTTAACTAAAAATATCAACTGAATAATTAAAATGAATGAACCCTCTAACTGTCAAAAACTACTTTAATTTTGCACAAAAGAAATATCGGAAATCATTATTCGTAACTAGAAAAGAGCCAGGAGAACGAAACATTTTCTTGGAAAATTTATATTTTCTTTATATATAACACTTGTGTAATATTATTAATATTCTTTATGCAATATATTTATAACTAGAAGTCACAAGGTTGGCATCGTTGCAAGAGAAATGAGAAAAGGGAATTGCGAATGGTTAGAAGAAACAGATTTTCACGAGTTCCTTGGTGTGTGCGTTAGAACAGAGGAGAAAGAGAAAATCAGTTCTCCGTCCTTGCTAATTTCCGGATAGCCGTTCGTGGTTCGATCTATTTGTCAAAGTTTCACGGCAATTTAAAATGTTCCGCTTTAAACGTATCGCCCCGAAGCCGCGAGCAATTTCGTTGGCTGTGGCTGTTCATTCGCGCGCCGCTGGAACTGTTCAAACATCCAGGCCGGCTAGTAGGACTATCAACGGCGACAATTTTGTTTAATCGCTACCTAATGCCCCTAATGTCTCGATCTATACCTTTGTCAGTCTAAGGAAATTGCAGTATAGCTCCCCCTTCCTCCCTCGTAAGGGACATCGAGCGTAAAACTCGATTCCTATTGCGAGTAACTCATCCCTGTCCGACTTTGACATCCCCTGCGCAACTATCGAAACGACCAATGACCAGGCTGGATATTATACCCTTCTTCGACTAATCGAATGCGGGGTCTGAGCGAAACGGGAATTTTAGAAATAATTTTAACGCCTCACTGCTACCCTAGATGAAAATGGACCATCCCCTAAATAATGCAGTTTTTTATATTTCCTTTATTTTTGAAAATAAAGATAAACAAAACTTTTTTTTAAAGGAACTACACTGTATAGATAGACAATTTATAGGTAATGATGGAAAATATGGTTTAGATTAAAAACAATTTTAGTTTAATAATAATTAAAATAGCTTCCATATATTGATACTAAATACACGTACATTTATTCCATCTTTATCTATCAGTGATTCAAGAACAGAGAATTATAATGTGTATTCGCATAATTGCATTAATCAAAATCGCTTTAAATTATTAAGAAATAATGTTTAGGAAATTCAATATCCAACAAATTGACTAGTTTTCAGAAAGCTGAATATACGTAAAAATACTTTAAGTACCCCACGGTTCTTATCTTAAACAAATAATCCATTCTAAGAAAATTAAATATTTAATATTTCTTAAATGGTGCGGTAATTAGCAAAGTTACGATTTCTCGTCCTCGACACGCGATGTGTTAACCTCTTACTTATAATAACGTGCGAGACTCGTAAACATTTTCAATAGACTTCAATAAACATAAATATTACTGAATTCTTGTGATTTTAAATGAAATTATTATATACAATATTATGTTTCTGTTATCGATTATTATATTGCAGGGCAAACAGAGACATGGAACATGCATAGAATTTTTCTTTTTTCAATAAATGATTACTGGCAAAGTTGCTGCATCGATCACAGTTAAAAAATAAATCATAAGGCAAGGGGTTAGTACAATTAAACGAAATACACGTTGCTATTCGTTTCCATAAAAAAATTACTAGAAATTATTCACGCTCTGCTAACCTACTTCATATACCTACTTCATCAATGAAGAAATAATGAACACCGCGATAGAATACACCAAATAGCATTCGGTATGCGCGCAAATGGACAGATAGCATCCGTGAGCTTATTGCACCGTAGACCGCGGTGTTTGATTAATTAAGATTTCTCCGTGCATACCGGGCTCGCGATGTAAGCGTTCCATGATAATCAATGAACACTAATAATTATAGAAGGTACGTATTCGTCGTTAATTGTATAGACATCCATTAACAAACGCGAATTCCATGATAATCGTGCGCGCGAAAGACAGAAGCCGGGATTTCCGGCGTCGAGATTCGAACCTCCGATAAAGTACGCGTCCAAGCATCGTAACGTTGGAAAATAACTAACAGGACAATGAAACGTGTTAAATTTTTATTTAATGAAATAAACCCCCCTAAATTTTATTAAATTTATGATTTATTTATAACAATAGATTATTTTCAGTTTCTTTATTATAGTATTCAAATGAAACTATTTATTCGCAAGATTACTTCGAAAATTCAATGCTTTTAATATATCAATAATCCAAACCAGTCATTTTGACTGTTACGGTAGTTCTAATGTTAAATACATATATTACATCCAGTGATGTTCAAAAATTCCCAGCCAGATCGTTTTTGGAATTGAATTCATGCCACATCGATGTGCAACTGTCATTACTGGAAAAAGTATGCCCACGAAATACTAAGTGTAACATGTTAATACATTAAATTACTATTATAATCGAAAACAAGCATTATTTCCTTTTTTAAACACTTTGGCCGAAAACCTTCGAACATGCTGAACTATTTATTTCTAAAAAATATATATATAAAGAATAGATGGTGTTGATTCGTTCACAATATCCTCTGAAGCAATATGTTTTTTGCATGTCATAATAACAAAAATTTCTTAAAGCCTTTGTCGTAGTTCTAAAACCGATTTGGCCGGGAACTTTTGAACGCCATCGTAAGATATAATAATATATTATATTAAAGACAAACATTTTAATAAGACCGTATGAAAGGTCCAAATACTTATACGCGACAGCGTACGTGTGACACTCTTGCCTCTTTTCGCGGAGTTGCTACGGCGAGACAAGCAAGGCGTTTTATCATCATCTAACAAAGGCTACTCCATCGCAAGGCAGATACTTTGATCGTTTCAGTTTTAGCCGGACACGAACAGACCGGAATAAAGAGAAAAGACGGGACTGCCGGTGCTACCGAGGACTAGCAGTGACTCGCTACTTAATCCGTTATACAGCTTAATCCCCTTTAATTAAATGCCCCTTCGATCATCCCTATCCTGACCAAAAGAGTACGCGGCTAAAGACCCGGCAGGCTTTCACGAATGAACTCGTAATCGTCATGGCGCCGTTTACAAAATAAAACGGGTAACGTTTAAAACTCTTCCGCCTCTGCTTCTTGATCGTTCGAGTGGAATCAAGATTACCGGAAACTCGAATTCATGGTAATAATCATTGTTGCTCGGGATCAAGGAGATCGATGTGTCTTGTTTTGTCTCAGATCAATAAAATATACCGGGAATAGACGAGTTCAATCAAGTTGATCATTTTTTGGAATTTTTTTGGGGGTTCGTGTTAAGTAACCATTTATTTCTTGCGCGTTAAATACTTTTAAGCTACTTATGATTTATGGAAGATAGAGATCGTTATTGTATTAGATAGTAGATTTCAAGAAACATTTTAAAATTATATGCAACTTCGTGTGTTTTACTAATAAATGACGATTTTTTAATATATCAGAAGATCAGAGGATAAATACTTACAAGTTCTAACTTTGAAGTTCAAAAAGATTTGCCATTTTTGTTAACCCCTTCTCCTATAATATCGAGTCAGATTCGTAGTGAAAATCTTTAACTCGACAAATCTAAATGTTACTTAGACACTAATCGTTCAAATGAAATATTGCTTATCTATCATCAATCTTTAATCTTAAAAGTAAACCTAGACATAGAATAACCATCGAATTCTGTTCTTTGTCTACTGCATTATCAACGATAAAGTAGTTTTACCAAGCACAGTTGCGAAGATCATAGGACAAGGGGTTAAAAAATTTACTAAAATTATTTAAACTACTTGGAACGTTTCTTGCTGTTTTTGTGCACGCTACAGGTTTGTTCAATATATTATTTATAAATAAAAGACTATTTTCACATGGCAGAGAAGCACGTGGACAGTAAATTCAATATGTTTGGTAAATTAACACTTACCGCAGCCAGTGGCGTTTCGAAATCGGGGTTCGACAACAAATGGCGTCGTATTGATCAGCGATCCAAACGATCAGCATGATGTAGAAGGCAGTAGTAGTATCATTGAAGAATTCCGACATAATTGCTTCCATTCCTGAAACAGAATGATAAAATAAAAAGATAAAAAATATTCTCAAAAGTAAAAATTATGGTTTTATGATTTTTGTTAGAATTTTGTTAGATTGTAAAACCCACTGGGAAGTGAATTTCATCAAACATCAATAATTTATATTAAAAATTTCTATCAGAATTCTTAATTTTTTTATTTTCTCACTATAGAGTGAACTAATAAGGTAACAATAAACTATATATATACTTTTTCACAATAATAAGACAAGAGAATGGACAATGACGTTCAAATTTATTCTCGCACAATTATCACAATTTATATTACAATTTTCAGAAATTTGCATCATAGAAGGGTGTCGAATATAAAAATAATAAATACGAATAAATCACAAAACAATTTCTAATTCAGCCTAGTGTACAAATTATAGGCATCAATTTATGGATCACTGTTTATCGATATACAATTTGCGCAAAATTACTACCAACATCACCGTTACGGTACATTAAGCTTCGCCCGACGGATAGAGAGTCTGCTATATAATATAATGTTCAAACACGTGTATTTTATATATGCAAGAAGCTTAGAATAATTATTCAGTAAAATATGTACCTTGTGTGGCGCAGTTCGATATCAAAGTATATATTATACGTATCTAAACCATGAACCTAATACATAGCACCCATATTAATGTCTATCCTATTTTATGAAAATTTCATTTAACATTATGACAAAGACAATACAAAATTCACACGATATTTAAAGATTATTAGGCAAATTGAAGATTTATACTTATGATAAAAGGCGAAGGAAAATGAATTTCATTGAAGTTGGCAATATTTAGATAAACAAGTAGTATAACTATTAGCTATATAGCAATAAAGATTCATAAAATTCATAAAATTCCAAACATATTTTTGACACATCGAAATTGGTTAGAAAGAAAGTAAATTTCCATTTAATTTACACAAGCGAGTAAAGAAGTTAAAAATGTCGTTGAATCGAATTGAACCAATATGAAACACTCGATAGTTTACCAACAAAGCCACTTTGTACCGCAAGTTTCCACGTTTTAACTTAATCGGAAGTATTGCAGTGAAAATTCGAATTATCAGGATTTATTGTATCTTTCTTTTTTAACCTCATGTAAAAATTGTAAATACATATTACAAATATTTTCCAATTTTTTATTTAACATCTTAATCTTCAATTTTCTCTCTCATTTTTTTAATATTCTCGACTACAGTTTTTCGACTAAAAATTGAAAAAGTTTCTCATATATATGTCAGTGTTTTTATCAGAAAGGATTTTTAATTTTTATTGCCGAATGATATAAAGATGGCTAAAGTGTTATTTGTATATTAAATTACAAACTATAGTTCCTAATAAAAAAATTAGGGTCACCATTAATGTCATCTTTGAGATCAGCAATGAATCAGCAATCTGATTCGTGTCCAGTCGTTTCTTAATATGATTTTTTTATAACTCAAGCTTAATATTTTTGTTCAACTCTTTCCCCATTGTATTCCAGAGGCGACTTTCAGTCGCCAATTGATTTGACACAGCAAACTTGTAAAGTTCGATATTTAATATTAAACTTTGTACAATGCATCGATATATGAAATATTGAAATAAAATAGTTTCGTTACTCAATTTATGTGCAATTTATCAAGTTAGTTTCAGAAAATGTCGTCTGTACCTCATTAGAATACGTTGAGTATATCTAGTGAAACACTTCTGGAATACAATAGGTTAACACTACGATGAATTATTATTAAATTACCTTTTGGACTTCCAACACTACCACGAAAAATGTAGCATAAAAGGTGCCCTTAATTTTCTGATCAGGGATTGTCTAATAAGTATTAAGTATGTTGGCCATAATTTTATGATCAGTAACTGTCTAGAAAGTGTCCTAAAATTCTTAGATTTTCACAGAACACAAAAATGAAACACCAGGCGTGACCACGTATGGTCCATACTGACAACCGAATTGATAAAAAACTGTATTACCAGGGAAGGGTTAAAAGTGGAAATGACTAATGATATAATTTTAGCCTGGTAAGTTCGTTACCCGATAGAAATTCCCCTTTCGATGTTATCGCGTCCCCGCAGCCTACGGATTCCCTCAGCTGTAATCGAAAATTTATACGCGGAGTCGTACCCGAGCACGGAGAATCGATCTCGTGAGCACGAAACATGAAGCGGGATTAATCTCGCCGAGAAGACGCCTTCGCGCTGGCGCGATCGAAGATTTGCATGCGTGAATTTTACACGCGTCCCCGTTTGTGCATCCTCTCGGTAATGCTGCACACAGATTTCATTACAAAGGTCAAAACAATGCACGCGCAGCGATAGAAAGCAATATTCCGAATACCGATAGCCGTTTCTGTCGACTATCAATGTGGCGAGTACGGTTGCATCGATGAGTGAACGTACACAGATGAACGTTAACACTGAAACTACCAGGGTCGAATTGATCGATTTTAGAGTGTTTAGTATTTAAACTGCGACAAGGCCTTCGCGAAAAATTGTAAAATGAATTTGTGTTTGTACAGATGCAAGATACCTATCGAATCTCGAGAAATATATTGTAATTTTTATAAAGACTTAGAAATAAATCACTCCCGTTGCTCGGTAGTTTTAGTATTAAAGTTAATTCTAGTTCCAACATACGTATTTCAAACATATACGCCCGGGGTATTATTTTACAAAATCAATGACATAGAATATTCCAAACGTTCTCTAAGTAATGCACAGTGACGAAAGAATGCTTTAGAAAGTGTACAAAAGTTTTCAACTTCCTTATTCAACATTTCGTAAGATTTTACGAAACGTTACTGACGCTTCGATTACATTTTATACAATGAAACATGCAGATTATACAAATATCCTAAAACTAAACATAATACCGGCTTCCCCAACCTCTATCAGCTTAATTAAATTTCACACTTTATCAAAAACGTAAATTTTTCACTTTTAACAACACAAAAATGTAAGAAACATTAAAACCTGAAGCACAACGAACTGAATTTAAACAAGAGGTGAGCAATGATTATAAAGAAAAATGAAGAATACAAGCTAACAGGATGTTATATGTTGCAGCTTGTTAACAATAACAACAACAACAACTATATTCCCGCGATTTATTATTAGACAAATATTTGTCAGCTGTACGCGGGCTAGTTTCGTTGCTACAATGTCGGTGAAATAACTAATAAATTCCGCGAGATGAAACGTGCACGGCAGTGTATATCGGGCTTCATATTTTATGCACAAAAATCGTTACAGCAAATCTCCTCCAATTTGTGCACTTCCTTACAGGTTATTCCGGCATAAACGTGTCATGTATGCAAGAATAGTATGAATCTTGCACACGTGTACGTACATTGTATACATATATACGCATATTATATGAGCATACGAGAAGGTACACTGTAAGTGTTATATGTACATACGCGCCATGCCGAGCACATATGTTTGGGACACGGTATAACACCCAAAGCCTTGGATGCATACATTCTCTGTCGTGTGATAGAAATTGTTAACCGAATTAGACTGACGTACAATCGTTCATCTTGGAGCAAGCGCGAAACGAATGTCCATTTGTAAAACCGTATCGATAAATTCTAAATGCTGCTTTATGCACTTGTACGAAAGCTGCGACGAAAATTTGAATTAGACGGATTGGAAATAATTTGGCATAGAGAAATTATAAAATTCTCAGGTCAATGTTAAATATTATGTGATTCGACAGGAAATATTGAGATAAAGGAGTTATCATTATTCCTGTTCAATATCATCGAGAATTTCATGAATAGAAAATGAATTTATGCAGCGAAAGTTTCGAGTGCAAGAAGTTAATTAAGTAAGTAGAGTGATTTAATTAACAGAAACATAATTGTAGTTTGTAATGTGCTATTATATGAATAGGATGTAAGTTATAAACAATAAATGAATAGTATGTTAGTTATGTTTGATATAATATAAACAGAGTAATTGTTTTAATCCTTTTACAGGAACATAATACAAATTGAAACAGAATGTTATTTATCTATAGTTTCTCTAAATTTATCGACAGAAATGCAAATGAAAAAGTCGCATTTATAAAGTAAATACATTGGAAGTACATTCGTTTATAGTCTGACAACATGAAAATGATTTTTATTCGCTTCTATAGCATTAACAGAATATTACGAAATCTTAAATAATAAATATGAGTTCAAATAGATTGCTTTTCGGAAATTACGAATATATTTCAGGCAAATCTAAATGTTACTTATTTATATTTTATAAAAATGAAGTAACAACTTGTGCATTATATCTCTTTAATCTTTATAGTAAACATAGACGCAGAATAAACATAAAATCCTTTTCTTTCATTACTAAATTATTCACGACACGGTAGTTTCAACAAGCACAGTCGCAAAAGGAATCATAGAACGGGAGCTTAAAAAAGCCGGGAATAGCGGAAAATTCTATAACACAAAGATCCGAGTCGCTAATCATAAATAAATAAAACGAAGGAAATATCCGAGCACGACAGCGGTCATTACTATCACAAGACTGCATCCCCTGCAAGGGTTAATAAAAACGCTGCCATCCTGCGCGTCGATTCTTCCCATCGGATCTTCAATGGAAACTTAATTAAAACAGCCAGAAGAAACTGTTTGCCGAGGGATTTCCCGAGACCATCTCATTACAGTGACTTGACGTTGTCAGTGCGCAAACAACCGGTATTATTAATTCGCACCCGGCGTGGAAGTGGAAAAAGGAGGAAGAAAAAAAAGAAAGGAAAGGAAAGAGCGGAAACGGGGGGAAACAAAAATTGTTGAACGGCGGAGGGAAAAAAGCGTTGTTTGAGGTTTTAAAAATAACGGAACAACTCGCGGGGATCGATACACGCAATCGTCCACCATCGAACCCGCAGGCTCGTCCTATTAATCGAATACTTTCCGCGCAATTAAAAGTTCGTGGTACAGCGTGCAAGACCTCGCCCCATGTAAATTTAATACCGTCCCACGGGC